TGTGGTTCTGTAAATATGGGAACCACTTGGGACAGCACTCATGTTGGGATAGCTGTTGTTTGCTCTGATGTATTGAAGATCAAGCAATCTTGCGTGATTCCTACCATCAAATACAGCTCTGCCTTTCCCAGACTGACTTGACAGGGGAATCCTTGGTCTGACAGCAGTTTCACTCTGTGCATTGCTAAGTAGGGTTGATGTCATACTGAGATTCAGGGAACAAATGTGTCTGTTTGTAGGAAATAATTGTAGGAGGAAACTGAAATGCGAACATTGTAAATTTGGGGATTTCTTTTCAGTTAGCCTTGTATCATCCCAGTGCTCGGGGATCTCTCTGTCCTCCAGAAATTCAGACTCTGAGGTAGCTAATTAGGACCCAGTCTGATGGTGCTATAATAGGCGTGTGTGAAGCCTCCCAGCTATTGTCGGCTGTCAAGTCAACTTCATGACACAGTGTGGAAGTAGAATCAGGTAGTTAGAATCATATTGTCTCATGAAATAATACTGTCCCATGAAATAATACCATCCCATGAAATCATATTGTCCCGTGAAATCATATTGTCCCGTGACATCGTATTGTTCCGTGAAATCATACTGTCTCATGAAACGTCTGCTTTAAAGAGATATATGTAAAAGTATTTCTTACTGTAGATCATGATTAAAAAAAAGTAAGGTGGGAATGGAGATACTAGGTCTGATGGGAAAATAGGGAATAATGATAATAACAACTCAACGTTACTGCATGCTCCTGGGTGCCAGGCACCAGGCTGGGTGCCTTGCATGCGTGAGCTCACACTTCCTTCCTTCAAGGCACGCGTGAGGAACTTGTAGAGGCGTGCACGCACGTGTCTAGTGAGTGCGCCGGGTCGTGGTGAGGCTTGATCCCGGCCTTGTCACTGCAGAGCCTCGCTCTCTGCCCTTCCCAGGGAGGGAGAAGTTAATTCCTTCCTCATCTTGGAGGTGGGGGGGTGCAGATGGGGATATTTAAGTCACGCCATGAACAGTGAGATGGATTCACCATGCAGTGCGGTCTGGCCCCGACAGATGAGTGTGGACCGAGGCCTGGATGCAGGGAGGTGGGCTGGTCCCCCAAGTCTTGGTGTGGTGAGCACAGAGTGTATATCGGGAGCAAAAAAGGCACCAGGGAAGACAGACCATGTCCAGCTTGCAGGGCCTGGGATCCCTCATGAAGGGGCTTGCAGGGTGGGCTCTTAGTCTGTGGGGGACCCAGAAGTATGTTTATGAAGGAAAGTAGCATGATAAGAGCATCTGTTGTAATCAGACAACTCTGGCAGATGACAGTGGAGTGGAGAGAGGAGAAAGCGGAGCTGGCAGGAGTCCCCTACAGTCGTCTTAAGCAGTTTTAGGAGAGGAAACTTGTTTCTGCCCGAGAAACCCGAATTTGCCTGTGGGTGGTATGGTCTGCAGGTGGGTGTGTTTGATGACGTCAGAGTCCATCTGAAGCTGATGACAAGCCTGAATGTCATGGAGTGCGAATGTATGCTGCGCCGTTTGCGTTGGTATTTGCTGGAAGCGGCCTTATTAGTGGTAATTGAGACTAATGAGTAGTTTGCGGTTCTCCCAGCAGATACCACTTCTAAGCAAGGACCCATTGAAGCTATTCAGAAGTCAGTTCGGTTGTTTGAAGAAAAGAGGTATCGAGAAATGAGGAGAAAGAATATCATTGGTCAAGTTTGTGATACCCCTAAGTCCTATGATAATGTTATGCATGTGGGCTTGAGGAAGGTGACCTTCAAGTGGCAAAGAGGAAACAAAATTGGTAAGGAAATGAAGAAACATGACGCAGAGATGGTCTCTGTTAGCAGTGACTCGTTTCACGCCTTTTGGTTAAATCCTATGGGTTGGGTTATTTTCCCTTATAGACATGGCCCGTGTACATATATCTTTTTCAGAGGGCTCTGTTTTTTGATTAGTCTGTAAAATGTCTTCTGAGAGCAATAACGGGAGATTTTTTAATAGTTTACTGCACTGGATAGTTGAGATTGAGAACTCTCACCAGTGGAGAACTGCAAAAATGTCTCACATTCGGTCTCCTCTGTATCCTTTGTATCCTCTCCCCACAGGAAGGTTATTTAAAGAGAGACTGGATACAGATAGAGACAACACAACCTTTTCTGAAATATTGCCTAATTAATCACTTTCCAGCTGAAACTGCTTTTAGTGAAATAACTGGTTGTAGATTGTGTGAAGGGACGCCTGAACCTTCAGACGCTCCTGTCTAAACACACTCACCTGTTGGCACTGAGGTCCGGACAGGCGGACACAGCCTCAGGAGATGCAGGCCAGTCCCAGTTGTGAGTGGAGAGGAAAATGGAGGCAGTTGATGACCTTGTAAATTACATTCATTATTGTTGTCCATCTTGCTCAGCCATACATGCCATTGGTTTAATGTCCCAAGGAGTTAGTGAATCTCTACTCCACACACTCCTGGACACACAGTCATGAGGCCTGGGCTCACCCTGAGCACTCCCTACCCCCTACCCCTGCCCCTCACTTGCATGGAGCCCAGTGGCTCAGGGGTACACTGCCCACTGCTCCCTGCCTGCCTCTCTGGGCTGTGCCCACCCCAGCTGTAGCCCAGCTGGAGTCATTTACAGAGAACTCACGTTGGAGAGGTTTACAACTTCACTTATTTTAGGTAGTGTTGAGAAATAGTTGGGTCTGGTGATAGCAGCCGATAGTAGGCATGATTATAGGTACACGGATGCGTATCCAGAGTTAGGATAATATTACTGTGTGTTAATAACTTGGAACAGCCTCCATCAGGCAGTGCTAAGAACACCTGTTCTCTCATGTGTGCAGGGGAGGGACAGTACGGGAAGGTCTACACTTGCATCAGCGTGGACACCGGTGAACTCATGGCCATGAAGGAGGTAAGCAGTCTGCTTGCCTGTCCAGGGGCCAGGTGGGATTTAAGCCCCTGTGTAATAGAGATATGGTAAAGAACTTGAATCTCTTGCATTCCTCTTGGAGCTCTGAGCTGGTTTGTTGTTGTTGTTGTTGTTATTTGCCGTCGAGTCGGCCCCGACTCATAGCGACCCCTCCTTGGGTTTCCGAGGCAGTATCACTACGGAAGTAGGATTGCCCAACCTTCCTTCCGAGGATTTAGCGCTGTCCATAGCGAGGAGTCCAAACTGCATCCCGCTTTTCAGCATTCGGGCCGAGGGAGCACTTAAGCAGACGCCGTGTAGGAAGTAAAGGTGTCTGCTACCCTGTGAGGGTGGTGAGACCAGGAGCACAAGTAGCCCCACAGCACGGGTGTGACGTGTGCCTCAGAGGGAGGAGGTGAAGTGACGCTGGCCTGGGCAGGCACCCCCAGGGGAGGGGAAGATCCCGGATGAGTGCAGAAAGGGAGTCAGCGGGCATCGCATGTTGAGGCTGGAGGTGTGCGTGAGGAACAGCAGGCGGAAAAGGCCAAGGCAGGGAGACAGGCTGTGTGGCCCCTGAGGAGACAGCTGAGAGGCTGGGAGGGCAGCTGAAGAGGGAACATGAGCTTGGAAGTGTTCACACACGCTGGCATCGGGACATCGTGAGAGGCTTTGCAGGAAAGTACGGTGTGCCGGCACTTCCTGTCACGCTCCACGTCCTGTTTGTGCCGTGGGTTCTTCCGCCCTGGACCCCAGCAGCGTTGGCTGGTCCTGCCTGTGTGGCACTCACCCATACTCCTTTGTCCTCTCTGCAATTGGACTGTAAGCTTGTTAAGGGTAGAATCATGTCTTTATCTTGCCCAGAACTTAAACGTCAACAGTTGCTGACTGTTTCATGTTCTTGATAGTTTCATTTTCGGTTCTGTAAATGACTGCAGTAGCAGTGGTTTTACCACATATGCAAGAGCAGGCATGTTTACTTCACCCGAAACAACAATCCAGTAGAAAATCTAGAAGTCAGGTCATAAAGCCAGTGGCCTTCGTTGTGTGGCCCTGTTGCGATAGTGATGTCAGGAGAGCCTTCAGCCCTCGCAGTGAGCCGCTGTGCTTCAAGTCTGTCCCAGTGCCAGCAGTAATCACCTGTTCTCCCCTCACAGATTCGATTTCAGCCCAATGACCACAAAACCATCAAGGAAACGGCAGATGAACTAAAAATCTTTGAAGGCATCAAGCACCCCAATCTGGTTCGGTATTTTGGTGTGGAGCTGCATCGAGTAAGCCCACTTTGATTCCACTGCTCTCTCGAGGGATTAGTGAGGCACATAGCAGAGTCCTGGTCTACATCACAGGTCTTCTCATTTCAGAGCACTGTAACTTTGCCCAATTATCAGGAACCCTCCATGGTTACACCATTTCTGCCTTCCTCTGAACTGGAGGCGTTCTTCCCGAAATGTAAGTTGTAGACTGTGGTCACGAACCAACATCACGAGCACAGAAGCCCAGCCTGCCACCCAGCAGGTCTTCTCCAGAGGCCCTCATGCAGCCTCTTCTGCCCCCTTCCCCCATTCACACTGTCACATACACTGTCTTGGAACATTGACTTTCCTTTCACATGCATTTCAGGAACTATTGTGAAATGAGACAAAATGAGGACTTCACATCAGTTCCCCCTTATGTTTAGAAATAAACGCTTTGAGGGAGAGTAACTCAGAGCATCCCGTGGAGTACATGAGCTTCAGGGGAAGTGGTATATGGATTTTTTTCAATGTTTTTCTAGATAAACTCACATCCGGGAAGGATGTGTTTCAGTACTTACTCATACACACACTTCCCTGTTGGTCCGTGTCTGTGGTTACACAGCAGGCACAGTAACAGAGACAGTTACAGGACTCGGAGGAGATTTGGCTCTGTAGTTGACAGTGGGGGCAGGCAGACACCGTGTAGGAGAGCTGGAGAGGTTGTGATAAAAAAAATTCCATGTTCAGGATGACCAGTACAGCAAACCATTAGAGGATTCCTCGAGAGCAGGGCATGGCCTCACTTCTTTCAGATTCTCCACTGCACACCCAAGTAAGGAAAGCGGTAAGCACAGGGCTGTGTTCTCTTGCTGCCGCAGGAGGAGATGTACATCTTCATGGAGTACTGTGACGAGGGCACACTGGAAGAGGTGTCACGGCTGGGACTTCAGGAGCATGTCATCAGGCTGTACTCCAAGCAGATCACCATCGCAATCAACGTTCTCCACGAGCATGGCATAGTTCATCGTGACATCAAAGGTAGTGTCCAGGCTCGCCCAGAGAGGGTCTGCCCCGTGGCCAGCACTCAGCTGCTGCAGAGATGTGGGGCCCACTCCCATGTCACAGCTCCAGGACCCTGGAGAGACCTTTACTTGACACGTCCTTGTATAAAGAACCCCACATAAGAAGCTGTGTGGGACCTGGGTTTTCCTCCCTGAGCAGACACATCTGCCGTAGCTGCCCACTGCTGCCCTTAGAGGTGTCCGTTTCCCCAGACAAATTCAGCTCTTTCTCTAGGCTGAGCCAGCACACCCTGTGTGCCTACTACATGCTCCTGAGCAAAGCGGCTTTCCTTTTCCCCTCGGCAAGATCCTGGTGTTCTGTATCTAAACCTTGTGAATATGTGAAGGTCAGTCTGTCAGAAATGCTGGTGGAAGTCATCATGTGCCGCTCGTGATTTTGGAGAGAGAACCAAACCACACTCAATGCTGTCAGGTCAATTCCAACTCACAGCTTCCCTATAGGATGCAGAACTGCCCCAGAGAGTATCCAAGGCTGTCATCTTTACAGAAGCAAAGCCCAAACCAAACCCACTGCCATGGAGTCTGTTCCGACTCACAGTGCCCCTAGAGGACAGAGTAGAGTTGCCCCACAGGGTTTCGAAGGCTGTCCTCTTTACAGAAGCAGACTGCCTCATCTTTCTCCTGCAGAGCTGCTGGTGGATTTGAACCACTGACCTTTTGGTTAGCAGCCGAATGCTTCAACCTCTGTACCACCTTGCTTGGAGACAAGGCTAAGCTGTGTTTACACCAGCCTCCTGCGATGAGCATTCTGTCAGTACTGTTCTGACCGTGTTGGTTGGTTGAGTACCTTTCCCTTCTGGCGTGAGATTCATTGCGCTTTTGTCTTACAACTGCGCCTGTGGCTTTAACTGAAGAGGGACTATATTCTTGTCTCTCATTGGCCGTGGGCTGAGGAGTTTCATTCTGTCATGTCGTCTGAGCCCAGCTATACACATGTACTCTAGAATGAGCCTGACTTTCTCTGGGTCTCAGGCTGGGGACTGGGCCCCATCGGGGGCTGTTCTGGGTCATGCCTGGCTCTGCTTGTCAGGGTGTGAGAATCGTCCCGGAGGTACCCAGCACGTATCAGTCTCTAGGTGCCTGCCTGTCCACCACACTGTTTTGCTGGCAGGCACGCCTAAGAACACGCAGATGTGGACTCGTTTCAGAGTGTTGAAGTCCCTGCTGTGCAGTCATGGCAGGAACCCAGCAGCGTGGGAGCATTCGAGCTGTGAGGATCACCATAGCCTTCAACTCCTCATAGGTTGATTGTTGCCCTCGAGTGGCTCTGCATTGCTCTCTAAGGAGGCACAGGCAAGAGATGGGCTCAGGTGGGGTGATGACCTCATAGTCTGTGGACAGATGGGCAAGGCCCCGAGCCTCCCCCAGGGTACCAGCTAGGCATGCGTATAGCTTGTGATGGAACACTCTTCTCTGAAGTGCCTTTGCTTTGTATTGTTGGTTTGTGAGGCCCGCTCATGAGTCTTTCTGTTGCCACACCTCGTCAGTGAAGCTTCATAAGCCTGTCACTGTGGTTAGTGCGTGCAGTGTCTGGGTCTTAGATCACCACAAAATCTCTCAGATGCCCAGCTTGTTGCTTAGCCTGTTACCGAGTACTCCTTTCTTGCTGAACCGAAAACCACACCAAATTCACTGCTGTCGAGTCATTTCGACTCCTAGCAGCCCCTCCTTGGGTTTCCAAGGTAGTGTCTCTGTGGAAGTAGATTGCCCAACCTTGCTTCTGAGGAGTGGCTGGTGGGTTTGAACTGCCAGCCTGCTGGTTAGCAGTCAGATGCCATATGCACTGCACCACCAGAGCTCCCCCTTTCTTCCTAGGTGCCAATATCTTCCTTACCTCATCTGGACTCATCAAACTGGGAGACTTTGGGTGCTCGGTGAGGCTCAAGAACAGTGCCCAGACCATGCCTGGTGAAGTGAACAGCACCCTGGGAACAGCAGGTAGGGGGCCGCTTGGCCTGTCTCTGCTCAGTCCCTGGACACAGCGGGCCACGTGAGGGGGCTCCCTTCAGCTTCCTCTGTCCACAGAGACTCAGACAGCAGATGAGGGCTCCCGTCCAGAACGCCTCCCCTCCTCAGACACTGGGCTTCTCTGAAACCAGCCATAACTGGCACACTGAATCACTCCTGTACAGGAGGCAGGCTCAGCCTTTTTCATTCCAGGAAAACAGTTTCTGTTGTTCACACTGAGTGAACTGCTCTGGTCAAAACAAAACTATGCTAAGTGGTAATTACTTGTTTTAATCATCTAGTGTCGTAATTTTACACCCACCTTTACAGGTTAAATTTCATATTTTTGTTGAGTACAGTTTATCTGAATATTTGCCCGTTCAAAAAGATTCTACCCTAAACCATCCCTTTAACAAATTGATTTGAAATCCGTATTTTCCGTATCTCATGCCACATAACTTAGGGAAGTTTTTCTGGTTTCACAAATTGTTTCTTCTGTGTAGACTAGTAGCCAGTAGCTGTTTTGTCACTGCCATTGTTCATATGAGATGCAGTGTTTGTAACACCGATTCCCATGTTTGTGTCCATTACAGCTTACATGGCTCCTGAAGTCATCACCCGAGCTAAAGGGGAAGGCCATGGACGTGCTGCCGACATCTGGAGTCTCGGCTGTGTCGTGATCGAGATGGTCACTGGGAAGGTAAGTGGGACCATGCACTTAGAGCAGAGCAGCAGCTGTGCTGTTCACGTATGTTCAGTACTGTGGACACGTGTTTGCTAAATGTAGAACAGGGCTAAAGGTCAAAGCGACTTGTCAGGAGGTGCAGTAAAGTTAAGATAAGTGACAAACTGAGAAACATATTCAAACAGAGATTGTCAGAGAACTCTTACAAGTGAGTAAAAAAGGCACAGAGCTTGAATTACATGGAGAAGCAGAAAATTACTGAAAAGAGGGTCAATCTAATAATTAAAACCGTGCATTTAAAAATGGAATTTTATTTTTGATTTAGTGTATGAGTGACGTTTTAAAATGTAGATAATAGTGTTCAAGAGGTC